CGAGTGGAATAATTGTTTTATTAAAAACGCTACATTAAATTATTAAATTTTATTACATTTTTAGCTCCCTTTCAATTTTAAGCTTATGCGTACGCTTACCATATCGTAGTTTATGGTATATTGGCTCATATACCATAATGGCTAAGCCAATGAAAAGTCTTGAATTGCATTATCCAATGATCCAGTTTTTAATAATATATAATATACTCACGGAAAAACAGCCCTCCAAATGTTTAGACTTTTCGGATTAGTCAAGAATTGCGCTAACGTAAAAACAGGCCACCAATTGAATAAAAGAATAGAGGAATAGCTTCTTTTTTTTTTTTTATTTTTTTATTCATCTCGTTTCCGAAGAAAAACTTTCCTGTACACATCAATCAAAATTTTTACACCACCCACCCACCCTAAAAAAAAAAAAAATACAAATACAAAAATCAAAATATTGGTCAGCGGAAGCGCGATGAGCTAATAAAATCACGTGCCTTCAGTGAGACTGGCAAGATGGCGGCTTTGTCCTCTCTCTTGCTGCGGAGTGTTTTTATTTCGTTTTTAGGATTTTTATGTGCCGAATCTTCCTTCCCAGTACCCGTGTTTATATGGTCTAAAGATGGGTAAGTGATTAACTCGTAATTTTTACAAATAGCACTGTATCTATTGAAAAATTAGAGGGGCTTTTCGATCGAATTTCTTTAATTTGGAAAATAAAACGCCAACTTTTCAGCTTTTGGCAGAATAGACAGATGTTTGGATCAAAAAGAAATATTTTGGGTAAGGTGTGATGTACGTCATAACCTTTGAGATGGTTATGGTACGAGGAAACTTTATTGAGTTATTTCTTTAACTTGTTTCGGAGTGATATGCCAAAACTAATTTTGAAATTCAAAATTACATTATGTAGATCATAACTATGAATGTAGAAATTTCCTGTCAATTAAAAAGGCGATTAATTTGTGATGAGAAATCACAACGAGTAACTGCATCAAGATATTAAAATATAGAATCTAAAATATAAAATAAGATTAAATTGAGACAGGCAGGTCTATTTAATGACCTTCCACCTTGTTTGCATTTACATAATGCATTAGATAAATCTTGCAGCATTAAAAACCTTCTTCCTCTAGCCTATGTCCACATGATTTTCCTAATGATTGTAGAGCCATATTGGTTATGCAGGGCTTAACAACACAACTTTTTCAAATTTTTGATTTGGCGACTATAAAATGAGACATTGTATGAAATTATGTTTTTGTGGCAAAGCTTTATAAAAGGAAAAGCTTTAAAAGCATTGTACACCAGTGGTTGTCTAACTTGAACTTTACATCATCAATACCACTGATGTTTGACTGCAGAAGATAGGTCTTGAAATTGGAACCTCTTATAGCCTGCTTGCAGACCTTTTATAGCCTGCTTGCACTTTGGGTTTTAAGGCAGACTCAGTGCGGCAAATATAAATTAAATTGTCTGTCTTAAATTCTTCCAAAATGGTTGCGGCTTAGAGGGCTGTGATGATAGAAGCCCTTGATGGGCAGGTTTGGTGTAAACCTTGAGACTGTTCTGATCAAAAAGCTTTATTTTAAAGTTGAATGGTTTCAAAGCAGTTTCAAGATTTTTGTCTTTGTTGTCTTCTCGCCCCACAGTGAAGTTCTTAGTTCTTCACCGGTACTGGCAGGGCACACAGTAAAGCAGAGTGATTTTCAAGACAAGTATCTTAAGAAACTATTCAACACCCCGCAAATCATTTGTGTCTATCTACAGGATAGGGTAAGTGGATCATCAAACATAGTGTCATGATAGGATAAGTTTGAACTGAGTGTCAAAAGTAGTGCGCAGCAGCAGTGATTCAGCTTTACTGTCCTCTTTTGTTGGTTTAGAAATCTCCTGCCATCCTCTTTACCTGACCTGCCTATGAGCTTTTTTTTTTTCACTGGTGGAAAATATATACATTCTACACCTTATTACACTGTTTGACATGTGATACACGAGGATGTGGATATTTTGTGAGCCTTGAGCAAATGTCCACATATATGTTAAACCATCAATTAAGGAATATATTAATCCACTATTCTTTCATTTTTCCCTTTTTTTGCCTTAAGAGCGACTTTTTTTTCGACTGAAAAATGACTATCCTTATATTTCAGTCAGAGACACCTTATACAGGGCTCGAAATTGCGACCGATATGGTCGCCAATGCGACTAAAACTTTTAACTTGGCAACTAAAAGTTTGAGTTTAGTCGCCACTTTGGAGACTAAACTAACTTCCTCTGATAAATAAAAGATTGTAGATGAGAAAAATTTCTTAAGTCTCGTTTCTGCATTTCTGCTTTTCTGCCGTAGGAAATGCAAATCAAGTCTGTTTACCTTTAAGCTAAAACTTAAAATGGCTTTCAAATTGCGTCTTCTGAGACTACATATTACAGTGGCTTCTTCATGGTGATCGCGGGCGCAATATTTTTTTGAAAAGCGTCTGAATTTAAAATTAATCCGTTGAGAACAGGAGGTCTGGTACTAAATGCCTATCCGCCATGTTTGATAAATGTTTGATGCCTTTGTATCATATGATTTCTTGCATGCGATGTGACATATTTTCCTTGCTACAGTAGCCCTGAAATGTTCTTATTACTTTTTTTGCTTACTGCTTAAGGTAAGATTGTCATGCAAAAGTCTTTCAGAGTTTCTTCTTTTGTGTTTTCATGTTTTAAGTCATTCAAGATCGAGTATTTTGGTCTACCCCACAATCACAGCCACAATCCACCAGAAGCTGAACAACAACGCCAATTGAATAAGGCTCTAATCTGATTTCTGTTCTTGTACTATCTGGCAACTGCATTTTTGCACTTGGCGACCATTTTTTCTCTGATAGTCGCCAAAAGGCAACNACTAAACAGCACATTCAAACAAAAGCATTTTAGGTGTTCTTTGTGACTGACAAAAAATGCTGATGCACTGCAAAGTTTTCCTCCACAAAAAAAGCCTAATAAATGATTAAAGTTTGGGTCCTTCAACAGGGCCATTTTGTTGCTCTGCCTGCGATTTGTATGTTTGCCCTGATCTATGGTATAATACTGTGGCATATTTTGCACATTTGGTTACCCTCATATGGTTAAATGGCATAGTGGTGGAATGATTTCCTATAACATGCATTTTTACATAATTTTTCTGTTGTTGCATTATTTTATGAAAACCAAGCTGCAAAACTGTGAGCATGTATGTGCATAATTTTCTATTCATTTCTTTACATTTTTTCCAGTTGAGTATAGACGATCTTAGTCACTATGGTGATGCATACAGTGCTGAAAACCAAGGCACAGCATTTTCCAACCTAAAGGTTGCCATGGAAGCTGCCAACTCATCAGCTGTCCTACCATCAGTCGATCTTTCCTCTTCAAGTGGGAAGAATGATGAATTGATTCAGCTGATCAGAGAAATGGCCAATGGTTTGGTAAAGGAGTTCAACCCAGAAGGTAAACATGGTTGGGTTAGAATGTGTCTCCCCATGTTTTCATTTATTTTCTCTCATTTCAGACTTCTTGTCTTGTGTTACCATACCAATGATTAAAGATAGATCATCATGGTATGACATTAAGTGAATATTTGACTTTTGAAGTGAAAAACATGAACACTGAGCTGAATTGTAAGCTGTAACCATTTTGGTTGTGCTTGGGCATTAAAAGATTTAACAGGCTAAAATTTAATTTGCAATAAAGGTGGTTGATGTTGTAACATTTATTCAGTTGTAATATAGAAAGCTTTAACTTTTTATTATTAAGTGCCCATGGTCTTGAGTTAAAGTGGGATAAACATTTTGTCTTAAACAATGTTATAATTCACTATAACAAATTACCTGTTAGATGCTGTTCCCTCTTTTTCTGGCAAGTTAAGTTTGATTTCTAACCATCACAGTATGATTGTAGGTGATGAAATGTTTATTAGCCNCTGATTGGTGCAATAAATGGTCAGATATCATCCACTAATTTGCCATACACATGTATTATGACTGTAGCCTCCCCAAATGAGGTATGACAACAACAACAACAACCTTTATTTATTCTAATTTCTAATGACTAATGACTATTTTAACAAATTGGACATGCCCACAGGTAGCTAGCTAATCTAGGTGGGTCATGTCTTAACTAAGAAAAAAAGTTGGTATACAAGTTTACAGAAATCAGGAAATTAATTAGAGAGAATAAGTATACAGGTTTACAGAAATCAGGAAGTTAAATAAAAAGAGTAGGTATAAAAACAAAGGTACTACAAAAATACAAAAATAGTACAATTAAGGCTATACTTGTTCTTCTAAAAATACATTAAAAACCTTAAGAAAATTTGACCCTTTGAATGATGTTTCATATGTCGAGATAAGAGTCTTCCAAAGACAGAATATTGAAAAGTACTCTTTAATTTTTCTCTTTAAGTCATTTTGAGAGATTCCTTAATGTAAGAGGCATCTTGTTCCAAATTTTGTTCCAATTCTAGAAAACGAGTTCAATTGAATAGCGAGCCTAGAGCTTTGTGTGTAGAAGTTGTGCGAAGCAGAGAGGATCGGGTATTACAGGGGTGAATATTAGAAATGTCTTGAAACAGGTCTCAAATACTTCTAGGCGTGTTTTTGTGTCTAATATCAAACATCAGGTTAGCTGTAAGTTTGTAATAAGAAAATTGTAGCAGTAAAATAACGGCATCGGAAAATAGAGGAATTGCATGCTGATTGCGGTCAGAAAAAAAGATAAAACGTAGAGCTCGTTTTTGCAGCTTTAGAAGCTTATCAAGATATGATTTACACGCCTGGCCCCAAACTATTAGCCCATAGCTCAGATAAGGTGCAACGAGAGATCTATAGATATTTATAAGTGTGTTTTGGAACAAAATGCCGTTGTTTAGATATTAGACCAATGGTTCGGCTTATTTTAACAAAAAATTAGCACTAAATTAGTAATAACCCTGGACTAGAAAAGTGTCTTCGATCAGTCTTGGGAATGGACAGATGTCTTGGGGTAACAAAATCCAGTGTGAAAATACCTTTGATTGCCAATGAGAACTAAAATACAAAAACAACAACAACAACATCAACCAAACTGCCTGAGGAGCAGGAAAATGTAGACTACGGTAGTACTCTTTTGACCCCTGAGCGTGACTGGCACCTAATTTCTCCATACAATATCATGCCTAAATCACAAATTAAGGTCAGGAGAATATAGAGAATGATCACCAACTAAGGAAGCTCTTCATTTTTAAACAAATTCTCCTTGTCAGCCTCTCAGGAAATTTATAGAGAACAACAACAACAAACTTTATTCATTAATTCACAAATTATAATTTCATGTTAGCTTCCACCCGCATATAGAAGAACATAATCGAGTTTATAGAGAGGAAAAGACGAAAGATATTTTACAAACAGTACCAGCTGTCGTAAAATGAAATTATGGTATCAGTTAAAAATGTTATTAAGATACAGAAATGGAAATGTGAATTACACAGAAAATAAAAGTCAAGTCGTGTTTCAGAGCTATCTAACTTTAATTAAGTTAATTGGTGCATAACTTCGGTGATATCAAGGTAGTCATCAGATTTCAATAAAACTTAAGAGAGTTTATTCCTTAACCTTTTCCAACAGTATGGAGAATATGTATAACGTTACTTAGGTTTAAAGAGTTGAGGTGCAATTGGTTTTAGTTTTGGATATGAATGGTTGAGTTTTCACGCTGAGCAAAGCAAAGCAAAACCAAAGGGATCTTGGATCACCTTCACTGTTCAATTGAAAATTGCTCTATAATACACTTTGAAATTAACAACAGCATGACGGTGTCAACGTTATGATGGTCTTATCCTTTCTTTCAAGGTAATTCGTGAAAGACTTTTGTCAGAGAAACGATTGCAAGAGGAATCTCATGACAGATTCCGACGAGCTGCGGATGTGGAAACTTTTGGAGGTGTGCTTGAAGTATCCAAGGATAATAGTCTTATAAATGGGAGTCTGTTTGCTGATGCTAAGTGCATTTTACTGTACTTCAATGGATTTGAAATTCAAGTGAATAATACCAAGTATGGGGTTATCAGCAATGCTACAGACAACTTATCTTTTGATGTTCATGGGGATTGTGCCAATACAAGTGACAGGTATGATAAGTAATAACTTTTTGAGTGTATTATTGGTCTTTTTGTGCACCTTTGTTCTATGGAAAGTATTTTTTTTCTTTTTTGGGCACAGGTAAAACTCTTTGCAGTCTCTGCAAAGTTCAGTGTGTCTGTATACCATTAATATTTTGCAAATTTTGTGTTGCTGTGTAGTTTAGTCATTTGGGCTCAGTTCTACCTTATAGTAAGTTTGTTTGTTTTGACAAAAAATGTCATTCTTTCTGTCAACAGTATTACAATCAGTTTCAAGGGTATAGAAGATTTCCCAACATTACACCTGAGGTAAGAACAACATCCATACATTGTTCTTGTGATTTCAAATCAATCTAGGGAATGAAAGATTCAATTCTTAATACCTAAAAGATAATTGTCCAATTCAACGACATTAATTGTCTTTGTCTACACGCTAGCCCTGAGAATTCTAAAATCCAAACAATATCTCCTATTTGATGTATTATACAATTCTCATTCAGGGGTACTATCTGTTTGACAATTTAGCCTGATAAATTGTCAGGAGCTTGTAATTGTAACTCATTCCTGGTAGCGAAATGATCTGCAGATCATAGTTGTAGGACATTGACCCTCAAATCCTGTCACATTGTATCACTTTGTTTTAAGCTTTGCTTTTACTACAAATGCATCTGAGTGGAAATGCATTGATGCAACCTTGACAATTGATGGTACATATGGCAGTCAAGAGTTTAGTGGCAAGTTCACATACAATACAAGTGGAGTACTGATGGCTCCTAGTGCATTCTCGTACAGTTGTACCAATGTGAC